ACTGTTTTTAAAGGATCAGTTACATTTTTGCAAACCAGTCCCCAGTGATTCAATATAATGACAAATAAATAATCTAAATGCCGAGTTCGCAAAAACTCGGATTCATATAAACTTACAAACAGACCACACCGTACCTATGTAGAATTAGAATGGAACTGCATTTTTTCACACATACCGTAAAATAAATTAATTATCAGTAAAACTCGTAAATAATTATAATAATTTCTTACCTTTGAAACTAATTCCACGATTTTTCTCGTTCTAGAATTCATGTTTTCAACAAAATTGCACTATTGAACACTACAATAAACGCAAAGGCGGCAACTCGTATGTTTTAGGTTAGAATAAACATTCGCTGTTGTTAAGAGTTCGTAAGCAGCGTCGCTGATACGACCTATTAGAACTCGAATTTCGCAGCACACTTTAACGTGGTATTAGAATTTATCAAATACGTGGTATTAGAACATATTTGTGACAGAATCTGATACGTGCTATTACAAATTTATATATAACTTGCTAAATAATTTTCTCTCGTACTTGGGATTAGGATCATTCGATAGAGCGTGCGCAATAGTCTCAGAATCAACCTTTATCTCATTTCGCCTAAAAATTCTAATACGTGGTATTAGAATGTAGGTAGCGATTTGTTGGTTGAAAACATATTGACGAAAGATTGCAACTCCCTTGAAATAAAGTTAGGAATTCTTCAAGCCTCTCGAATATGTAAGAAAGGTTGAGAGAAAGTAACACTCGAAACGATTAAACATTGTTTAAAAAATCTGATTTCGTAAAAAATGTGGAGAATACAGAAAAAGCTAATGACACTTTAACAGAAGAGCTGCTTTTAGTCAACGGCTGACAGGATGTTATTTCTGATCCTGCCGTCTCTTATAAAAATTTTGCCAACGTGGATAAAGAAGTTGCAGTGCAGCCAAAGTAACGAATCATATTACACAACTTAGACGGTACTTTAAAAGTAAAAATAACTTTAAATATAAAAATAACTGTATTTTTTTTAGTTCACCTTAGAATACCTTAAAATCTTTTGTCATTGCCGAGAAGCTAAATTCGAACAAAGTTCTAAATTTTTTTCGGTTGACAAAATTCGGGCAAGAATAGGAACGACAACATCTGCTAAAGATAAAAATGGTCAACTATTGTTGATTTTGATCGTTTGCAGATGTTTTTGTATATATATTTTTAATTAGAATTTTTGGATAATTCAAATTTTTGGATATTTCGAATTTTTTAACGGTCTCCTGAGATTCGAATTATCCAAGTTTCACTGTAATTTTTTCATTTACTTACGAAAATTGTTAAAATATCCTAACTATACCTACAGTTACGAAAAAAATACAACTCATAATGCAACGTGTATGTTTGTACAAGTATAAAAATTGTAAACCGAAAATGAAAAAAAAAGTTTAGCCATTTATAAGCATAAACAATAAAACAATTTAAAATAGAAAAACCAAACTTCTTTTGGACACTACCGGAGAATTTTCAATATCACGGACGCATATATTATAGAATGTAGAGGTGCAAAATGTCACAAAATATCAAAAAATGTGCAATTATAAATTATTATATATAAAAAATATTCTGGCCCAAAGAACAAAAAGAGTATCTTACAAGTTTATAAGATCTTAAGACTTAGCACTCCCTAAAATTTTAGTAAATATACACTGCGATGCAAAATTAACCGGACACTCAGATTTTTCCTAAAAACTAGTGTTTAAAAGAGATTTTCCCAAATGTTCCCAATTGAGTATTTAATAACAAACAAAATTTTAAAGTCAAATTTATTACAACTCAAGACTGCTACACAGAAAAAACAATTAACAATTCACAAAATTTGAAAATCTGCAAAGAAATAAACATTATTTTTTTAAATATAAACATTTTTTATGGAAAACTGTATTTAGTAGAGTGTATTACCACCAAGAGCTCTCATTACGGCTCTTATTCGATCAGGAATACTTCGGATTAAGACAGCAAAGTCTGTTTGAGGGATTTGCTCCCATTCGTCACGAACTACTTGCTCCAAATCATTCATGGTTTCAAAAGTCACCATGGTTAAGTCGAATACGTCGTTTCAGAATATCGCATGCATGATCTTATGGATTTAAGTCTGCAGTCCTTGGGGACTATGGCAATAAACGAATTTCAACTTCATCCAAGTAATCCTGTGTTATTCTTGCTATGACCGTACGAGCAGTTTCTTGCATAAGAAAAAAAATTTCTCCAACAAATCAAGCATATGGTACTACATGATCTTCCAAACATTGCTAAATATGCCGTTGAGCGTTCAAATTGCTCCCTTGAACTGTAACAGGTCGTGTATGAGTCTCTAGGAAAATGCCTGCCAACACAATTATACCACCTCCACCAAATTGAACTCTCGGAATAAAACAACATTGCTAATATCGTTCACCGCTCTTCTCCATATCGTAGGCCGCCCATCTAATAAGTATCTGTTAAATCTTGATTTATCTGTAAAATGCACACCACTCCAATCGTCAACACTCCAATTAAGATGTTCGCGAGCAAAGTGTAAACGTTGCCTCCGATAATCTACTGTTAATAGAGGTCCCGTGACCGATATTCTGAACCTTAATCCATATTCATTTTATCGTCTTCGAACGATATAAACGAAAACTGTTTTTCTATGGACATCATTATTCATTGAACAAGTACTGGTACTGATAATATACGATTACGTAACGCTTGCAACCCAAGCAGCGATCTTTAACTGGACTTGGCCTTGACTTGGCCTCTTGGTGTATTCTACTGTTTCCCGAAATCTTTGTATTGCGTCAAATACTCCTTCTCTTCTTTTTTATGTGCCGTCTTCTACCGAAGGTTGGCGACCATCATACGATAGGTTTCTCTGTTTTGTGCCGCATGAATTATGTTCGCAGCTTCTGGTATTTGAAACCATTCTCTCAAGTTTCTCAGCCAGGATTTCTTCTTTCTGCCCAAACCTCTTCTACCTTTAATCTTGTCTTCCACGATAAGCTGTAGCAGACTGTACTTATCATTACGGAACACATGGCCCAGGTATGACGCTTTCCTCCTTTTAACAGTTGTTAACAATTCCACCTCTTTACCCATTCGTCTTAATACCTCTGTGTTGGTCACTCTGTCTGTCCAAGGTATTCTCAGTATGCGTCGATACAGCCACATTTCTAGAGCCGCTAACTTCTTTATAATTGCTGCGGTTAACGTCCACCCTTCTACGCCGTAAAGTAGCGTAGAGAGTACATAGCATTTCGTGGCGCGCCATCGGAGATTAATGCTTAGGTTGCGGTTGCTTAAAAGCTTTCTCATTTTGATGAATTTGGATCTTGCTATTTCAATTCGGATCTTAATCTCTACTTCTGGGTCCCACTTGTCATTTACTGTATATCCCAGATATTTAAATCGGTGTACTCTTTCAATACGTTCGTCTTCAATATGCAGGTCGATATGTTGAAATTTTTTTTTACTGATCACCATAAATTTAGTTTTCTTTCTATTCATCTTCAGTCCAAATCGGCTGCCAGTTGTATTAACTCTATGTAGCATCATCTGTAAATCTTCGATGTTATCGGCCAGTATAATAGTATCATCTGCATATCGAAAATTACTTATTGGTACGCCATTAATCTTGATGCCCTCATTGTACTCTTCTAGTGCCTCTAGAAATATTTGTTCCGTGTACAGGTTGAAAAGCAGTGGCAAAAGAATACAGCCCTGTCTTACCCCTCTAGAAATGGTTATGTTTTCACTCACCATATGTCCATTCTTCATGTGGGCTGTTTGATTCCAATATAAATTTTTTATAATCTGGATGTCCTTAGTGTCAAGTCCTGAAAGACGTAATAGTTCTATGAGTTTGTCATGTTTGATAGTATCGAATGCTTTCTCATAGTCGATAAAACAGACGTAAACATCTTTCTGTTGATCCAGGCATTTTTGAATCAAAACTTGTATTGCAAAGAGGGGTTCTCGAGTTCCAAAACCGCATTTAAAACCGAACTGTGTTTTACTTATGCTGTGTTCTAATTTTGCTCGTATTCTGGAATGGATAATACGCAAAAATACTTTAAGGGTGTGGCTCATTAAACTTATAAGGCGATATTCACTACACGTCTTAGAATTATATTTCTTGGGAAGGGGCACAAATGTAGATTTCAACCAGTCCGATGGAATTTGACCAGTATCGTATATCTTATTAAACAGTTCCAATACTACATTCAGGTTGTTCTCGTTAAAAACTTTTAAGAATTCGACTGGTATTTCATCGCATCCTGTTGCTTTCCCATCTTTCGTTTGATCTATAGCTTTTATCACCTCACTTTTCAATATTTGTGGTCCATTCAGATCAAGAGTGTTCGTAGAAATATTACGATAATCCGTAAACAAATCTTTTATGTAGATTGCCCAAGTCTGTAACTGTTCTTCTTTATCTACAATAAGTAATACTCCACTTCGAGAAATTCCTAAAGCTTTTGCGATATAACGAATGCTCCGCCCATCATCCTGTAAAGCAGCAGCTTGTGCTACTTCTTCTGGTGTCATAATTTTTTTAATGCAAGATTTAAACAGGAGACAATACAAAACCTACTGCAGAACTTATAATCAGATAAAATTCCACAATAAATTTAAATTAATACTAAGCCACTATTTCACAGTAATAACAAAACGTGTGTAAAGCTGATGTTGTTCGCACAAAACATCTAAACAGGTTTAAGCAAGAAAAAACGATATAGCTAATAAGGCATAAAATACAATTCAAACAAATTAAACAAGTTTTGATCTAAACACCAACAAAAAACCAAAAAATCTGAGTGTCCGGTTAATTTTGATTTTGCACCCCAGTGTAGTAAATACAGTAAACCAGCATTGATAAATAACAAAGTCTTGTGTATAAACGCAACTTATATTTATCATTTATTTAACTCTGACCTAATATAAATTTCAGTACATTACACATGCGACTTTATCTAATTACTTACCCTGGCATTCCAAGAACTCCAAGAGCAAGTGATATTGGCAACTCCCCAAGATCTGGGATCAAAAATGGAGGTAATGCTTTACCAGCCTGTTCACCAGAGGCAACTGTGTGAGTTTGCCAACCAAAATAGCCCACAACGTATTTACCTGGAGGAAACTTTGGGTTTTTGCTTTCCAGTATTCTAATACATAAAATAAAATAATTAATATAGATATTTCAATAAAACAATATGAAAACATATAGAGCAAACTATATACAAACTTTATGTAGATCAAAATCTCAATAGTACTACAATAACAGCAATAACAATAATGTGTAAAATATGTTTCTTTATTTTATTATTAATCTTCTCATTAGATTTAAAAATTACCCCTAACATAGGAATAAAAAAGATAAGGAATCTTCTTCTTATGATACCCAATCCAATTAGTGGATGTTGGCGACAATTGTAGCATACTCCTCTCGATCTTGTGTGGCTCTAAACAGTGCATGGACATCGAGGTTTGTCCAATCCCTTATGTTTTTAAGCCAAGAGTATTTCTTTCTTCCGATGCCTCGTTTTCCTTTTATCTTCCCTTCCATAATAAGCTTTAAGAACTGGTACTTGAAATTTCGAAATATATGACCCAGGTAAGCAGTTTTTCTTCTTTTTATTATTAGAAGCAATTCCCGTTCTCTGTCCATTCGATTTAATACTTCGACATTTGTTGTGTGATCTGTCCAGGAAATTTTAAGTAGTCTTTTAAAAACCCACATTTCAAAGGCCTTCAATCGGTTCATCACATTGGCCTTTATGGTCCAGGTTTCTACACCATATCGCAGTATGGAGTAACTGTAACATTTTACAAAGCGATATCGAAGCGTTAAGTTGAGGCTGCTATTGCTTAGCAAGGTTCTCATATTAGTAAATGAGGTCCTGGTTTGCTCAATCCTGCTACGTATCTCTATGTCTGGATCTAGATCTTCAGTTATCCAACTACTTACTGAATACTTCAGATATCTGAACTTGGGGACCTTTTGGATGTTTTTGTTGTTTATTCTTATATTTAATTGCATATTTCGTGTTCTACTAACCACCATTACCTTCGTCTTGTCTATATTAATCTTCAAGCCCAGTCGTTCTCCTTCAGTGTTTATTTTTTGTTTATTAGTCGTTGTAGCGCTTTTTGGCTATCAGCTATAATGACTGTATCATCAGCATAGCGAAGATTACTGATAGTCTGTCCGTTGATTTTGATTCCATCTTCATTATTACTTAAGGCTTTATCCAAAATCGTTATATAGATAAGATTATAGATAAGTAATAGTCCATACAAATTAAAAGGATACTAAAGAGGTCAATTTAAAAACGTTTTTAGGGCATACTAGAATAATAAGTACGATAAGAAGTAAGATAAGAAAGTTACGATATCTCGGCCACGTTATGAGAGGGGATAGATATGTGTTGCTAAAAACCATAATGCAGGGAAAACTAAGTATTGGAAGAAGACGCATCTCCTGGCTCAACAATCTGAGAAAGTGGTAACATTGAAGTTCCGTCGACTTGTTCAGAGCTGAAATCTAAAAAGTTAAAATAGCTGTGATGATTACCAACCTCCTTAGAGGAAACGGTAACTAAAGAAGAAGAAGACAATACCTTTTGTAGCCGACAATAGAAAAAGTATTAGTGTTTTTAATACCTATATTTTAAGTACTACTACAAGTGTATTAGTCTGATGGTTTCTGTCCAAAAATGTCAATTTCATTCCCACAAGATGAAACTTGTTTTGATGACGTTAATACGCTATGTTTAAAAGTTTACACAAAAATTAGTCATAACTATTTTGAGCAATGAGTAAAAAACTGTGCCGTTTGTGACATTTTGAGGTCTTTTGGGTTTAAACAAATATTTATTTATCAGATATACCATTTTGAAGCATATTAAGAGACCTAAATATTTAAAAAAATTCAACATTTATTCAGTTTGATTCAGTTGCTTCTCTATTCTTGAATATTATAATTATTTTTAGAAGTTCTTGCATTATTATATACTACTTCTAGAGTTATACTACATATTACATCCATTGCTGTCGTGAGTGACCACTAAGTAGGTGGTATCTTTTTCTAATCTATTAATTTCTGTTATCAATTTTATCTACTTAATTAGTAATTTTCACTTTGATTAATAAAGTTTTTCCATAATTTCTGATGTGTTTGCCTTGCAATCCATTTTGCGTCGTTCGGAGTTTCCCTGTAAACTTGAAAATAAAATTTGCCAGTTACAACTGTAATACTTCAAATCACACACCTGGTAGATGAGACGCCAAAGCATGAAAACAAACAAGATACCTTCTGGTTTTGCCCAAGTTTCCCAAAGTTTTTACAAGGAAAGGTGTCTCAATATCTGCGTATGGTCAAACATCAACCAGGGCTGTGGAGTTAATATTAATGATGATTCTGAATCAATATTTCTTAAATGCAAGTTTGTTTCAATAAATGTTCTTTTGGCACAATGTTTGTATTCATTTGTAAGAGTGGATTGTTTTTTTTTTCGACGTTAACGTGCTCGGCTACTATGGCCACTTACACAGGTACTATAACATGAGTTTTCATTAGACAAACAATAAGTGTTGCATGAAGAATATGTTACAATAATACGGAATGATAATAATATGTTACACAATGTCTAAATTAAAATCTAATTATATTTTTTGATATAAGTGTTCATCTCTAAGGACATGTAGCACAGCTTTTATTTGGTCAGGGTCGTTTAGGATATCTCGTACTTCACTTTTGAGTTTGTATTGTAATCTTCTGGCCGAATATTGATGGCATTCAGTGAGGATATGTTTGATTGTCAAATATGATTGGCAGCCTTGACAGGAGGGACGGATGCTAGAGGACATTAGGTAGCCGTGTGTGAGTTTTGAATGTCCTATCCGTAGTCGTCTTATCACAATGAGATCTCGTCTTGACAGGGCTGAATAGTCAAATGTAGGCTGACTGTTTATTGACGGTTGTATTTCGTGTAAAATCGAACGGTTAGAGTTCCAATGCTAGAGTGGAATTTTAAATTGTTATATTTATTAATAATAAACATATTTTTATGTCATTTTGGATACATGTATTTGAATGCACGTAAAGCTAAGGTCACTAAATAGTTTACACCTTTATTTTTACCCTATTATACTGTAAAATCGCTCATTGTCGTACGGATTTGCTAAATGTCAAACTGCTTGTCAAAAATTTTACGGATATTGAACAATAAAATTAAAAGCTATTAAACGCGTCCAAAATGCCTAGAATACATTTGAATGCCGCAAAAATAAAAACATAAGCAATTGCCAAATTCCAAGAAAGTTGGTTACTAAGGCCAGCTACTACAGATTTGAACGTGAACCATATGTGCAAATGGAAAATTAAACAAAGATGGGATCATTTTCACTCTATAGTACGGTTGGGTGGTTTAACAGTGCAGAAGATCTCTAAAAAGCAACAAGACAAGGTGTTAGTATATTATCTGAGGAAAGCTCCTTGTGCCACATCTCAATATCAAGCGAAAAGACAGCGTTTCTGGGCAGCCTTCACATTTCACGTAGAAGGATTAAAGCTAGCGAATTGATAAGTTCATTAAATGAATAGATCAAACAAAGCTGCAGGCTGCCTTAATGAAACAATATGGAAAAATTAAAATATCAGTGAAAAGCAGAATTTACAAAACAGTCATCAGATTAATAATGACATAGCCGACAGAAACACGACCTGATACAGAGAAGACAAAAAGGATGTTAGAAACAGCAGAGATGAAAACAGAAAAATTGATGGTAAGACACTATGGGACAGAGCTAGAGGTACAGATATACGACGTAAATGCAAAGTGAAGAACATCAACTGGGTAAGAAATAGAAGAGTAGAATGGAATGACCATATAAGCCGAATGACAACAAATAGAGTAGTAAAGGCAGCAAAAACGGTTCTCCAATAGGAAGTTAATCAGTAGAAAGACCACGCAAACGATAGAACGACAACTTACCGAAGACACATTGAAAAACAGAGTCATGTCTACTTAAAAAGAAAAAGAAGAAAAATAATTAATAAACTGTGTAAATTGTGCTGTGCTTAAGCTGCATAAAAACCTTTTTTGGCTAAGGATTATAAAACGAGACGAATTGCATTTTGTAATGAATTACAAACCGTGAAGACAAGTTTTGGTCTAACTTTGCAAGTTCCGATGCAAAAGTAAGTATTTCAATCATATAGCAATGGTCGACTTAGAGTTTATAAGCCAAGAAATAATAGGTTTGATCAACGGTATACTCATCAGTTAAGAAATAAAGGAGGATTCTCGGTTAATGTATAGGGATGAATAAGTGCTAGTGCATTTATCCTGCAAAGAGTTCCCAATAACAACTGTATCTTCCAACATGACAATTTTTTGGATCATACGCTTAGAATTTGTGAGAATGGTTGGAATGGTTCTTTTGTGCCTTCCTGGAGTACATAACTTAACCCTATAGAAAGCACGTGGTGGTCGTGTGTATTAAGGTATAAAAAAATGCTTATTAAAAGCTTAAAATTTTTATTTTAAAGAAGATCTTTTCGGAATTGAATCATTCCATCATCAGTTTAATAAAAAGCTGTGAAAAACATTGCATGGCCACATGAAAACATTGGAAGAACATCCGTATTAAAAAACAATCCTCATGGTATTTATGAAGGTAAATGTAATAGACTGTTAATTTGTTGATTACTAAAAAATTAAATTCGGGGCATCTTACATGACCCCCTGTAGTTGGTGAGGTTTTATTGACTTACATTACCTTTGATCTGTGCTGGAGGTAGGGCTAACCTATAAAAAATCTGTGGAGAGGGTTAACAAAGAAATTAAATGAAAGAAACCTTCGGCCACGAAATAGAATTTTACTATAGAAAGTAATTGAACAGGCATAAAAGAAGCTTGTTGAATATCACATAAGGACATTGGTGTTATCTATAAAAGATTGCAAAGTTGTATTGACAATATTGGGGCTGCTACTAAATTACAGGTTATCATTATATAATATAAATTCGATTTAAAATAAAATGGACATTTGTAACCCAGATTTCAATATTTTCGTTACTAAAAACACAATCCATTTAATAAAATAAACATCTTTCTGGGTCCGCCACTGGTAGTTAACATCAAATTAACTTAAAATTTGC